TTAAGATCCAAGGGGGTTTGGATCTGTGTTCACCAGGGAATTGGTGAAAGGTTTCTCAAGGCTTCCCAGGGAGGGAATTCTTGTGATGGTGGCAGCGGACCAAAGCTAAGCTGGTAGATAAGCTTAGAGGTTTTCATGCAGGCCCCTACATTTGAACCCTAAAGTTCAAAGTGGGGATACAGCCTTGACACCAACCCTGAAGGCATAGTTTTGAGGAAACTCCAAGAAGTTCCCCTTATGGAGTTTTCATTCCCCTAGTCTGCTTCCATGCAAAGGAATAACTTGCTTGTGTCTATAACTAAGTTGTCTATTTTCCTGTCCAAGGATCTTCGAGACAGTTATTTGTTCTGTTCAAGATAATTCTTCCCCTCTGCTCAAAGAGTAGAGAGATGTATCTATTTTTCCTACAAGTAATTTCAGCCAGTCAGGGCATGACTTAAATTAAATGATGAATGACAAGAGAAGTGTTTTTATCTAGATATGTTGTGAAAAATAAAGCATAACCCATAGCATTGGTGATACTTCTTTGCTCATTATTTTTCTCCTATAATTTTTATCACTCTATCTGTTTCTCTAGGTTCCTACATGGCCCCCATCAGTGCAGCATCCAAGTTCTTTCCCTTTCCATTTCATTTAAAACCATAGACTAGACTAGAAATAGTCCTACAATATGTATCTAATTATGTCTGAGTTCTGCTGACTTTTTTCTCCTCTTATATGCTTCAGCCTTATCCCTATTGACAAACACAGTGGCACAGCTCAGCAGCCCCACTATCAAGCCATTAATGCATTTCACCACTACATTCATTTTTTCACAAGCCAATATGTTTCCTAACAAATTCATGGTAACTAGAACCTTGGGTTCCCTGCCCAGTTCACTTTGCAGTGGGTTATCTGCTTTCATCTATCAGACTGGGCTCACACACGTAGAAGTTTATAAAGGTCTGGATTCAAAATGAACCTGGTTGTCTCAATACTTGGATGTCACTGCAGCCCCCAGTGTGGTTTGGGTTCCCAGGGGTTTGTAAATGTTTATTCCGGTTCATGGTGGTAAATTTAGCAGCCATTTTGGAAGAGGAAAAAGGTCTGAGGACCATGAAAAAGTGATATATCACCCTAGTAAAACAATGTTCAGCCTGTTGAGAATGAGTGGCTTCTGGCCTGTTGGTTCATGTAAGATTTGCCTTTCTTGGTCCAATTCCCAGTGCAGCCTGCCTAATCTGGACTATTCAGAGCTGATGAAGACCAGGCTAAAGAGACACCTCATCACTGCCACTCACCTGGCTGCTCTGACACTTCCTTCATTTAGGGGAAACTGCAGGGTCTCTATAGTACACAAGCCCTCTGCCAAGGGCTGAATTTCACTTGGAATGCATATAATATCTCTGCTGCTATACCACAGATATCTTTATAAGGCATAACAGTGGGCATGTGTGAGTGTAAGGAGTTATTTAATCCCCCATCCCACCACCCCTCTTTTTTGGAAAATCTTCTCTTTGTTTTTGCAAGAACATTTTAAGACCTAACTTGTGCATCCATTCTGCAGCAAACACTGTTGTCCTCCCTAGGGGAGAGGAGATTCTATTTGCCCCCCAAATCAATAATTGGCAGCCCTAAAGCAACAGGCTCAGCAAAAGAAATGTACAAACCCAGCTGAAGGATCTTTTACTAAGTCCCACTATACTTAGCAGAGAGCTAAATTAAAAGTCTGGGATGAATATGTGTGTATTAAGTTCCACTATTGTTCACTGGGTTGTTTGATAATTTCACATGATGATCCTTTTATAATAAATCATGCACACACACAGAATAAGGTAACTACAAGCCAATATATATATATAAAAAAAACAAACAAGATATTAAATGTAATATCATCATCAGGGCAAATCCAGAAGTGCTTACTCAGTCCTTACTCTAGACAAACCCCTATCGATGCCAATTAATGTCAGTGAGTCAGTCTGAAGACTAAGTGTGGGAGCGAGGGAAGGAGGTGGTGCTTGGTGAACAGGGAGAGCCTGATGGGACAGAGAGTTATTTGACTTTTTGCTCCTTCTCCTTCTGGCAAGGGGGAGTGCTGTTGACTGATATTGGGTAAACAGTGCAGCTGTGAGTTGGGGATGACGCTCATTGAGAAGGCGTTGTTGGAGCAGGAGTAGAATCTCTTCCAAGCAGGGGCTTCTGTTAAATACTTGGAAGTGAAATAGTGATGGTGGGGTGGTCTTGCCCCTCTGTCTCCCCCCATTCTCCTTCCTCTGGTTATGGTGGGGCAAGCAAAACAGAGACCTCTGCCTGAGGGAGAGTGACAAAAGTCTGAGTAAAGGCTTCAGAACTTAGTTTATTGTGAATTTTCGATGTTCCTAAAATATCCATCCACTTATTTCCAAATTTCAGCCTGTCCTTGTGACATCTTCTGAGTGTCTCACCAGCAACTTCAACTTAGTATGGCCAAAACAGAACTCTTATCTTTCCTTCCAAGCTTCTTGCGCATCCGCCTTGTTCCTCAGGCCTCTAGCCGGGGAGGTTATCCTCCTTCTCTCTTGCCCCACACATCCAGACAATGTCCAAATACCTCCAGTCCTCCCCCAAAACATTTTAAGAGCCCAAGCTTTTTTTCCTCTCTCTCTCCACACAGCTAATGCTCTTATTCAGGCCCTCATAACCTCCTCCTTTCTGTTGTCCCTAACACACTCCTTGCCCCATCCACTCCACTGAAACCCTGGCTGTTGGGCTCATCTTCCTAGTCCTCACTCTGACCACATCACTCCACTCATTGGATCCCTTTACTGGCTCCCCCATCTTATTGCATCCAGTTCAAGCTTCTTTTCCACCCCTTCAAGGCCTTTAGCAACTCTTCCTCTCTCGTGTCCTCCCTCCTCTCTGTGTGTCTTTACGTCTCATTTCACTCAATCTGCCAAGGATGCCAGTCTCACTTGCCCATTTGTCATCTTCTCTCACACCCATCTCTGGGTCGTCTTCCAGGCTCTCCCTTATGCCTGGCATGCCTCCATGAATTCATCAATAAAGGCCACTACTCTCTCATCCTTTCTCTTACTCTATATTTCTACAGCATTTGGCACCATGGGGCCCTGATTCTGACCAGGCCCTAGGGGTCTTACCACACTTCATTAGCATCATGGGACTGATTCTGTTCTTACTTACAACAATGTTACACAAGTGTGTAATTCCACTGGCATCTATGCAGTTTTACTCTTGGTTTACACTAGTATGAGGACAATCAGGTCCCATGTGTCTAGCTTTGTATCATGGTGTTCTACACATTAAAAAAATAGTTAAAAATAAAACTTGGATACTATAAATAAGTAACATTTTTACCACCCAACCAGCGTACATCTCATTAATGAAGGTGACAGTACCAAGGTGAAAGCCTTTTTTGTTTATTAGAATTTCTTTATTTAATAAGGTCAGTCCAATCTGACTGTCAAAAAGATCCTGCCTGTAAAAATATCATTTGTCGTTTCATTATTTTATACAGCAGTAGTTTTTCCATCCAGTTATGGATGTTCTCTGAAAACAAGTTTGCACAATGACACTGGGGAGAATTGGACGAATTGACTGGAAGAAAGAGCTTTATGAGCTGTTCCTCTGTTACCATTCAGACTCCATTAGCCTCTACTAAGTTACATATGTTGGCTCCAGCACTACTTATTTAACTAGGAAATAGAGCTGTTTAAAGATAGCCAGGCATCTGGTTAGCCACTCAGGGGACATTCTGAAGTAATATGGGGTACTTCTCAATACAAGTAGCACCATTTCCTGTTAATAACTTCACACATTTTTTTCCTTTGCTAAAAAACTTGTGATATTGAAGAATGGGTCTTCTAATGTATGAAACCCTAAAAAGTTTACATCTTTAAACAAAATGAAAAATAAAGCAGCAAAGGATTTGGGAACACCCATTTTAATTCATTTTATTGTAGTTAATATTGAAAATAACTTGTCAAAACAATTTTATAAATTATCTAAACTTAAGAGGCTAATATCAATGTTACCAGATCTAAGCACAATGGAACAAGCTTACAGGAGTGATCCAAAGCCCATTATTGTTAATGGAAGTTGTTTCATAGATTCCAATGGGCTTTACATCAGGCTCATGGAAAACCTAGCAAAGCTCCATTTCCAGTGAAGAGGAGTAAAGAGTTTTATTTCAGGGGATTTTATACAAACTGAAGTTCCATTTACAGTGAACCTAACCTTCTTAGGGCCAAGACCTGGAATTCTTACTCAGGTAAAACTCCCCTGGAAGTCAGCAGGAGTGTATAAGTACTGCACCAAAATACATGTAATTAAGTGACTTGTGTGGGACTTATCCCAAGCCCACTGAAGCAAGTGAGAGTTTTTCCATCAACTTCAATGAGCTCTGAATCAGGCCACATAAGATCTTCACTGAACTGCTTTCCCCAAACACTTATAAACCCAGAGAATATCATAGCAAAATCCATGGCCAGATCCTGCTCCCATTGAAGTCAATATCAAGTTTGTATTGACTTCAACGGGAACAGAATTGGGCCCCTAACTATGTTTTCTAACACAAGGAAACTGTAAATCAGTAGTTTTCAAACTATTGTACTGGTGACCCCTTTCACATAGCAAACCTCTGAGTGCGACCCCCCCTTATAAATTAAAAACACTTTTTAATATATTTAACACCATTATAAACGCAGGATGCAAAGTGGGGTTTAGGGTGGAGGCTGACAGCTCGCGGCCCCCCTATGTAATAACCTTGCGACCCCCGGAGGGATCCTGACCCCCAGTTTGAGAACCCCTGCTGTAAATACAGAAAATGACTGCAGTTACCATCGACTAGATTTTCTGACTCATTTTCATTAAAAGTTGCTCAGTTTGGTCTAATACAGTTCAATATTAAAGCCTACAGGTTTGGTTGTGTTAAGGTTAAATAAATTAAAATACTGAGCGCAAAGCAAAATACAACCATACAATTTAATGGTCCTCAGCAAAATGAAAAGCAAACCTGGTCTCACCTTTTCGTTTCTGTTGCTGGACGTGCCAGTATCCCTTTTGTCTGAGAAAGTCTTCATTCTGGAATTGTTTCCAACCTTATAGTTCTTTAAGTAACTGCCAACCTTGACAAGCTTAGGAGGAGCTTTGTTTTTGAGAATTAAATCAGTGATTTTACACGTTTTAAACTTCTCAGCCACAAACCCTATAAGCTCCTGTAACCCCAGCACTATTTGTTCCATTCCATCTAATCTTTTAGCTTGCTGCTCTGCACTCTTGTTCATGTCAGAAAGGGTATTGGTCATTTCTATGCACAGCCCCTTCATTTCAGAGTTATTTAGCTTCTCACTTGTTTCTGTGGTGGGTCCAGGTTCAGTTGCTTTTGCCTTTAACATCTCAATGTCTTTTTCAATGCAACACATTTCCTGGGAAACACTGTTTAGCGTCTGAAGGACATTGTCCTGCATAGTCAACAACTTATCTATTTTCTGACCAAGGGAGGCAAACTTCACATCCAACGTGTTAAAACTTTCAGAGGAGCTGACATGTTTGCTTGCAGCAAGAGGAATTTGGGTGGTTTCTACTTCATTAGCAAGCCCCTGGTTTTGTAACGCACTCGGATCAAATATTTTGACCAAGGAGTTTACCCTGGATGTAGCAGAATTCGTCCTACTGGAGGTGGTCATTATGCTGGTTTAGTTAGGGGAAGAAAATACTCTGATGGTCAGCTATTTAAGGCCAATATCTGCTCAGAAAGCTCCACATCCAGTCTTCTCAGACATAAAACCCGGGTTTGGCAAATCAGGCTCAAGCTTTTGGAAAAACATCCAAATATATTTGACTATCACAAAGTAATGAGACAGCTGAATTACTTAGAAAGGAAAACACTCCTGTTCATTTTTTTTACTTGTTTTAAAGTGAAATGGATATAGAGACAGACATTTGCTGAGCAACCTAAATGCACTCTGCTCAGTGACGTAAACCTGTGGGGAGGAGGGATAGAACTATTTGCACTTAAATGGAATTTGACAGTGTAAAGGCTACAAGATATCTGAGAAGCCACTATGGGTAAAGACACTTTAGCAGTAGTGTTACTGCTTGTCAGAAACATGCATCTAGTATGCCATGTGATCTCTGTTCTGAAGAGAATAGGGGCCTTTAAGGGGAATCTAACTTTGGGCTCTTGAAATTTTTACAGCTGAATGTAAATTTTTCAGATTCAAACCTGCAGTCGCTTGAGAAACCTCTTATCAAAGGCAGCATTAAAGAGCAAGAGAGAGAGATGTGATATACAAATAATACACAAGAGAAAATGAGAGACACACTGGTATGCAGACATTATAGAAAGTCACAGCCTTTTTCTTTAAACTGGGCAATCACCACAACCCCAATCAGACACAGGCAATCCAAAGTTTAAAGAGTCTTTTTCCCCATAACCAGAGCTTTAGTTTAAGACTGTGTGTTATCCAACATAGTTAAATTTAACATCAATGAAGCCTCTTATCATTTACAATGATCTGACTACAAAATTCAGAAAATGATGTTCACTAGCAAGGATTGCTAGTTCCATTCTTTTTATTGCCTACCTGTAAACGGCTCCCTTAAAACCAGTCATTATATTACTGTCACAAATCTTTTCCTGAGGGCTTTCACTTTTCATAAAGTCAGTGTGGGGTGTAGAGGAAGAATCACATGACTGGGAGTCTGGAATCCCCAGGTTCTAATCCCTGTTCAGCGATGCATATTGGCTACAGGAATTAACCCAGGGTTGGGGTTCCACTCCTAGTTTAGCTACACTACTAATGTGAAGTCAGAGGGACTTTGTGGACAGACCCCTTGCTGCCTCCATCGATCAACTTGCAAGATCTAAGCCTTATTTTGTGATGTGGGTAAATCATTTCCTTTCCCTGCCTCAGTTTCCACATAAATTAAATGGGGATGGTGAGGAATAGTTAGCATGCGCAGAGAGTTTTATACATATAAAGTGATAAGTATTTTAAACTTACTTTGTTTTCTGCCTGTAGTGTTTAAAATGTTCTCCATTTTTAATTGCCTGAGCTCTCTCTCATAACCACTCACAAATGGATGTTTAAAAGCTTTCCACTGAAACCTATTTTAGTCATTTAAGAATTAATGTACATTTAGTGTTGATAATGCACTGAAAAGTGATTCAGGAGCTTTTATTTGCTTTCAGGTTATCATAGGTTTTTAAGAAAGGTTCCAAGGTATATTAGCCTCCTCATGACAGCAGCTTGTCACCCTGACTGAAACCTGAAGTGAGCCCAGGCATGACCCTGAAACTTGGATTAAGATCTCCTCTTTACACAGCAGATATTATTGAGAGATTGCAATCATATGTTATGGTTAACAGTACCTCCTCTGCATTGATTTAAAAGATGCAATGATTTAAAAGCAGGCAAGTGGATGGAAACAGAGAGAGTTTAGGGATCCCTATTTCATGGAAAGAATAATACACCAGGCATCACTAAAAAGAATGCTGAAACAAAGATCATCATGGAGATTCCAGTAAAGAACAGTTATGTTTAAGGCCCCTAGTGTTCTTCCATTCATCTCTGCTAGAAACAAACTAAATTCTCTTTTCAGAGTAGCAGCCGTGTTAGTCTGTATCCGCAAAAAGAACAGGAGTACTTGTGGCACCTTAGAGACTAACAAATTTATTAGAGCATAAGCTTAAGTGGGTTGTAGCCCACGAAAGCTTATGCTCTAATAAATTTGTTAGTCTCTAAGGTGCCACAAGTACTTAAATTCTCTTGACAGTTACACATCTGCAGAAGCCCCTGTTAGTTACAAAATTCCAGCAGAGGTGTTTGCACCATCTGCAAAATGGCCAGATTTGCAGAGCCATTCATCACAGCTGAAATGTCTGTGCAGAGGTTCACAATTTTAACTTTGGAGCTTTTTCCTTCTACACACAAGACCAATGGTTCATTATATGTCATCACCCATCCAGCCAGGACGGCTGTGGTGGACGTCTCAGTCAAAGCATGTCAGTCATGAGGTTCTTCTATAAAATGGATGTTCTTTTGCGGGAGCAGGGAAATGATAAAAAGAGGGGTCAGCTACACTGATAGTAATTCTAAAGTCTAACCTATACACTAAGCCACACGTACTAAACATTTAAATCTCTCATAATACTTACCCAGGGAAATGTCATGAGAAATACATCAAAACGGTCATTTACTGAGTACTGTAATAAAATCAGCTTAGTATGTATGTTTAAAAGTTTAGCCGCACAAACACACTAATAAGCCTGTATGATGAACTTATATAAATTTTAAGCTCCTGGGGGCAGGGACACTATTTTCCTTTATAGCACTATTATATGGATTATTATTGTAATTCTGTCACCAAAAATTAGAAAGGTTTTCCCATCAATGCACTCTATTAATAGAATAATAACAATACCTAGCTCTTATCTAGCACTTTTCATCAGCAGCTCTCAAAGTGCTTTACAAGCTCTTTCTTAATTTAATCTTATTACTCCTAGCTAACTTTATTACGATATATAATGAATTTCCATCCTGGGTGTTTACATCCTTCAGTATTTGTAGGCTGTTTCACGCTGCAACCTGAGTCTTGCTTAGCCATTCAATGCACATTTAATTCTTTCATTCCGTTCTCATAAACCAATCCTTACAATCAACACATCGCCAACCTCCGGTATTTTGGTCACTCTTACCTAACCTGCAACCATTTGTCAATATCCTTCTGGTAATGAGATGCTCAGAACTGAATGTAATGTTCCAGAGCCATATAGAGAAGGGTCTCCCTGTCCTGAGAAGTAATGCACCAATAGATGCAGCAGAAATTGCAGTGATCTTTTTTAAAATCGACCTAACCCCGTAAATTAGACCTAACCCCGTAGTGTAGACCAGGCCTTTGTTGCTACCCTAACACATTGCGCCATCAGTCCTAAGTCTCTTTCAGCATTGCTGCTTTTTAGATTTCTCCTTCCCATTAAATATTTGTAAAAAAACTAGCTTTAAAAAAGAGACAATTTTTTTACTCTTATTTACACCTGTTTTCATCCAAAATAACCCCAATAACTGTTGTCTTCCAGACTGCAAGTAAAGAGCAGAATTTGACTTATGATCACCTTTTTTCTCCGATTTCATAAACTGGGGTTTAATGATATGACATGTTTAAATTTTCTGCATTGTGAAATTTCAATAAACATTTTCAATAAAATGTTGCATGTTGATGGGAAAAAAATGACAAAACCAAATCTTTTTGCCATCTTTTCATCAGTTCTAGGTGATACTGTGCTCTAGTGAAAAAAAGCATATACATTTGCTCAGTAGACAAGTTTCTAACCAGCCTATAAGAGATTAACTGTTTCAATTTTGGCAGTGGTTGTGTTTTATGGTTTTATCAGTGTTGAAACAAAGAAACTCACCCATATGAACATCATGTAAAGAGAAACCCTTCTGCAGGTTTTGAGCAAGCCACCATTTCCCATATGTTTTATATTATAGCTCAGAATATTAACACTCAGCCACCACACCATACAGGTGACAGTGTTGGCCTGAAGGCTAGTGAACATTGGGAGATTTTCCACAGAATAACAGAAACACCTATGCTAAATAACTTAGTGTTAATTAACTGTGAAAATTCACAGTATTTAATAGTCCTCTAAAAAGATTTTTATTTCTTATCTATATTTGGTGCTCTACTGATGCTGCATTCTTTCCAAGGACTTTTATGTATTAGAAGTTTACCTCCAAGATACCCCTGCATTTCCTCCCATCTTTGTTTCTGCACTGACACAAAGGACCTTTTACAAAGGGGTCAAAACTGGCTTTAAAGTTGCATATATAATTTTGCAGGTGAGTAGAAAAGTGACATACACATTTTGGAAGAAATATAAAAAACTCATATATGGAGTTGGGAGTGGAGAGGGATTTTTCCCTCCTCCTTTTTTTTACAGTACAAAAGTATTTGTAACGTTCTGGTTAGAAAGCTAGAGTTATGATTTTGTTCATGCCTTTGAACTCACACAAACTCCTGTCAAAGTTACATTCTCAGTTCATTTCTATGGAAATTTTGTAACAATTATTTTGGAAAAATTAGTCCACATGATTCAATATGCCACAGCAGGTCTGGTTATCGATGTATCCATCTGCTTCTAAACATTCAATCTCAGGTTCAGAGATGCTCCATCCCAACTCTGATGGGGTCTGATCCAAAGCCAGTTGAACACAATGGGAGTCTTTTTTATTGAGTTCAATAGGATTTTGATCAGGCTCAAAGTAGTTAGAAAAATACTGATATCCCAGTAAATCCTGAGAATCTACAAGAGTTACCAGTCAGTAAAATGGGAAAATATCTGCTCTTTGTATTTCTAGTGTGAAGATCTATCAGCAAGTAGAAAGCTAGAGAACAGTTTCTTCTTAACAAGCCATTCACTTCATCTTCAGTGATTGCCTAGCAGCCCCTTGGTGGTGCTACTGAGATGCCAACTTCCTGGCATTATCTTATTTTCTTCTGAAGGAACTATTCCAAAGGGGGTTCCCCTCCTCCTTTCCCCCCTCTCCACATCCTTTCAGTTTAGTTATTTCATATTTCCTATTCATTACAAGCCTAGACAGAGCAGCACAAAAATGTATGGCTGTTGGCACCAAACATCATAAAGAAGAGCTCAAGAGGAAATGTTTGAGTTGTAGAG